GCAGGAGCTCACTGAAATATTATCAACATATTCTTAAGACAAAATTGCATTACGGTAATAAACCTTTGTTAATCAGTGTCAATGATTAATAGCTTTTGTGTCAAATATTTGTATTTGAAAACGGATATACGACAACGAATCACATGACAAACCTATGCAAATGCTGATTGAACTGACTCGTTGTTGAATTATCTTATTTTCATAAATTGCAATCCAGATTTTTTGATGTACTTTTAGCTGTTAGTCTCTTCGGAAATGCAACGGAGTAAGTGCGTATTGATGTAATTTGGAAAAAAAGTTAATTCATTAGCCCAGTAGAAACCTCCAATACAATAATTCTGGCGATATTAATAGTACTAGTAATTGTATTGATATGGCTTTCCTGAAAGTATGTTAAATTCAATTAAAGATGTACGAGCAATTATTTTGTTTGATATTCAATATTGCAATCATTACGTTAATTCTGGTTAGCAGATTCATCAAGGTCTGATTGCCTTTTGCCCCGCTCTCGTGAGGTAAGTTGTGCGAGAAATAATGGAATACGGTAAATAAAGCATTAACAGAGCTTATGCAAAGTGCTGAATAAATTGGCATCGGCAACAACGTTAACGTGAATATTTCACACATGCTGCATTGGTCAATACAACACGATGTACAACACGATTTTCAACATCAGACTGACTCTTCACATTTATACAACACCAAACCAGAACACATGCATGACATATTAAACTTTGGCTGAATATACTACAAAAAACAATATGATTCAACCTACCACGTTCATATGCGCCACGAGGTAGAAATGAAATCTCAATTTACATACTCTCATCTAACGAGTTTACTTGCTCCTGGAGTGTCACGTCCTCTCCTGCCTATTTTATTAGATCGCCTACCCAATACGCTTAACAACAACACTTATAGATTTGAGTATTGCAGTGTAGAATAGGTATAACATCGACAATTGGCTGTTATTCAATGCAACCCCAACATAATAACTGAATTCAAGTATAGGGTATAGTTTTTCCAAAAGGGTCACGGAAAATAAATAAAAGTATTTTACAAAACAAATCATTAGACTCTAGTGCAAAAATCAAAAAGAGTGTTGTATCTAATTTTCATAATCAAAGGCGTTAAGGCATGACCGTGTTGTCACCGTTGTCATACAGAAACTCGTATTAAAATCTAAAAAAGTACATTTATAAATAAACGTAGATAATCCGAGGTGGGTTTATTTGTGTGTCAGAACCTAACGTCATACAAAATGGCCTTTCACATTATAGCACATCTCTAGGTTGCATAGCAGATGTTTTATTCGAAATTTATTCAAGGTAGGTGGGTATGAGTGTTGTCAACTGAATTTGTATATTGTTATATATAATATGTCATTGTTGTGTTAACCGTTATGTGCACAATGTAAACACTGATTCGAATACATATCCTTATGGTGCGTTGCAATACACTGTGTTGTTTCACGCCATATTTAAATATGATATTACATGTACAAAATAAATAGATAGAAATTGAAAATAAACACTCGGTAATAATCACATCGACGGTTGTTTGTTTTTTTCCTGAAAAGTAATCGTAAGCATTTTTAGTGTTTATTTATGTATGGCCATGCCAATTAAACCAAGTAAAATAGTGTGGTGTCATAATGACGGAGACACGGGGGACAAACAAATGTTGCAGGAAATGGCGTTTCAGGGGCTCTAGATTACAAAATTTGGCAAATTTCGTGCGGTCTCTGTGTCACAATCATTACAGTCTTTTATATGCAAGATACTAATTTAATGACGCTATACTATAATTGTATTTATCAATTTATCAAAGTAAGGCTCATTTTTTCTGGTTCGTTTGGGGATGAACAAATGGTGCTATGTTTGTCCGTTTTCAAAATATTTTTCTTTTTCTATTCTACCTTCACTGTGGTAAATGACGACCATCTTCAGATTGAGTGTAGTAGTGTTTTTTAAACCAGAGTACAGACTCACAGAGACTACCTCTATTACAAACACATGGTCTTTATAAACGGGTGGTTACAATAACACAACAGTGCCCTTATGATCAAAGTCAACAACAATCATGGCTCATTAGCATGTAGATCACTAAAAGCGTATCTGTTGTTTGTGATTAGACTATGTACCATTATTTTTTTACAGAATTCGTGAAAAGTTCGGTAGACATATTCAAATCCAGTTTATAAGCTCGAAAACCCACTGATGACTGGGGCAAATATTCCCCTGATTGTATACCTTTAGACATTCAAGAAAAGGAGTGTTCACCTCAGACAATAAGAAGATGAAAAAGTCACTCATATTTATATGAATCATAATATTGTTGAAACACATTTACATTTAATTTACTCGGTTTTCATTGTGATACAGAGCATTATCTTCTGATAAGTAAATTTGTAAAATTTACAATTACATTTACGATTTCTGACAGCACTTTGGCAATGGTACTAGGCATTCAAAAGTGTCGCTGCTAATACTTGACACCAATACTGAGGACTGGTGCCTTCATATGCGTTGCAGGCTATTTGACATGTATAAAAAACTATAAAAACTATATGGCTGTAGGTGATTACCGGACTCAGAGCAAAAACACGATTTTCATATCTACACAATAAACAATTTTATATCTAAATTGCAATTGATCGATAGTATATACTGGGTATGAAATGTTCTGTCTTTATAATACATACTATATTCCAACTTTTTTGTTGTTAGAAAATTTTCAGCAAATCCATGATTTCGTTATCAGAACACTGCATACACGAAGGATATACAGAAGTGTTTATGGTCTTAAGCATTACATGACATGTATAAAGGTGACACAAAATAATAATTTGTTGCCACCTATTTGTTGATAAAAATTTATGATTATAAGGCATGTCATGTTTTCATATTCTTTGTGAACATTTTCTGTACCATAACTTGTTAGTCTCAATTGTCTTAAGTATCTTTGGTTTGTTAATGACTGCTCTGAATGTTCTTTTTTGTTATTAATTTATTAAGGATCAAATAGATATGATAGAACTAGTGATTCTGCAATCAATAACTTCACAATCAATTTATTCTGGACATTCGCAATTTTTCTGTCAGTGTATTAGTCACCTTTAAACAGTGACAACAAACTCGCGAACATGCTAGCTATTACTTTGTCTTGAATCACACGTGTACGCATGTCGGAACTCGTTTGGTCGTCATTTCCTGCTGTTTCAAATAATACATGACTTGAAATTGAATTTTACACTAAATTATATGCAGAAAACCTCCACTGATTATTGTCATAGAAAATTATGATAAAAAGTTTGCCAATTGCATTATTTTAGTAGGTGCGTGAACTGCACACAATTCAAAGTCGAAATGACGCTTAAAGAGGTCAGTAAGTCGATTACTGGCGACTATACACAGCATAAATGCAACCATGATTTGAGGAATATTGAATCTTTCTGACATAATACTCTAAGGATAATGATCACAAATGCCTTTAAACGCAAATATTTTACAACTGAACAAGCAAACAAACTTAAGAATTAAAGAAACAAAAACAGATATAGCGAAACCCGGTCTAGTGTAGTATTATATGTTGAACATCTAACATCTAAGAATGGTGACAATGATCTGAGTTTTACTTACCTCTATAAAATACTACATCTACTGTATATTGCGCATATATCAAGATTAGAAAATGAATCACTTCAAAAATAAGTGTTTTTTGCAGTTAACTGTTGAGAGTAGTAATGGGGCCCGTATATAACTATTTGCCTGTAGGTTTGACTGAAGTGTCAGCTCTATGTTTGTTTCTAACAACATTAGCACTTTAGTGTGTTGGCTCAAATCGATTATTTATCAGTTTACTGAACGTGTGCGTACGTCTACGAAAGCTTTAGTAGTATCTCTATATAATATTCACCTTGTTTGGTCATCTAACACTGGAGAAAACAGACTACAATTTATTTTTCCATTGTCACAGTTTTCATGTTCATGTTCCTTGTCATTTATTGTATATATGGACTTTGTCAGATATTTACCCTAAAATAAATTAGACCTGCTGTCGATTTTCGAAGTAACTTTGTTTTGTAGGATGTTTTGTTTCAACCTATTTCGTCAAATGTGTCTTCACGGACAAATCAAGAATAATATTGACAGTTTAATTGAATTAAATTGAAGTTTCATGATACATAAAATATAACAACATTATTTTTTTATTATTTTTTCAGTTCAGAATACATAATGGTAAATAGGGTAAGCTGTTGATTGATTTATGTCAAATGAATGTCCCTTGCAGATATAATATG